AAAAAAAAAAAAATCACTATTACAATACACGTTTTAACATAAAAATAGAGCTCAAACAAGGGCTAAAATTAATCAGAAGAGCTTATCCTCCTTTAGTCAAACAGATTAAAATAACACACTTTATAGATGGGTTTAGACTGGATCCACGTGTCAAGAATTATTAAGGAAAAAATTAGATGAATAGAAATACGTAAATTTACTTATAGTTAAAAGAATTATTTGAGTAAATAAGTTTTAAAGTAAATAATTTTTATACTAATTAAATTCAGAAATAATTTATTTATTTTAATAGTGAGGTAAGAGTTAGATTAAGAAGAAGTTATTTTTTTTCATCAAAAGTACTTAAATTCAGAAATAAATTATTTATTTTGATAGTTAGGTAAGAGTTACTTTAAAAATAAGTTATTTTTTCCATCAACACTAAAAGAAATTTAAGCTATCCAAACATTTTTTTGACAAAATATAAATTTAAATAGAAGTTAATCGAATCATAAGTAAATATGAAAGCTCTAAAATAAGTAACTTTTTTGTTAATCAAAGTTCATGGAAAATACTTATTCTGATAGAACACAAGAATCGCTTTATTAAATCATAAGGAAACCTAATAGGAACACGGATCTGGTGCATATTACGCAGGATAACTTAAAAACAAAGAGAAAAAGGCAAATTTTGCCAATTAACATATAAATTGAGTTTAAAAAAAAAAAAGGCAAATGAGTTAGTTACTCGCACTCCGTTGGATACGAATACTCAAACAAAACCTACGCACCCCCATACACCTAATTTAGAAAGAAAGATGATGAAAATAGCTTTTATGTTCTCTCAGGCCAAAGAAAGCCAAGTGACATCAATCCAGCTGAGTAACTAAAGCAAATTTTATAGATGCTTCATGGATCCATTTTATTGCAAGAGAAAAATGAAAGAAGCACGTGCTTTCTTTCTCCCAGCAGGGGATTTGATAAGTGGATGAAAGTGTACTTTAAACACCAAATTACTATGCTAAAATGCCAAAAGTGAACAGAAATCACAGGAATTAATTCATGTTCTTGAAGAGGATCAAGTACCTAACTCATTAAGAGGATACCAACACACTCTAAACCAAGCTGCCAAA